AAACCCTGAGAGGTTATTTGGTTATTTTATTCATTTCTGTCACTTCGATCATGTAAGCTGCCTAACATAGGAAAATGTAAATTATTTTAGACTTTCCTCAAAATGTCTTGTTATCTGTAACCACAGCCCAGGCGCCAAAATTATTCACGGTCATGAAATTAGCCTCACCCAAAATTCTCAGCCCATTATAAGGAAGCATTATCTGTAGAACGATTTTGTGTTATTTTTCTAGCTTATAAGTTACTAATTCATTTTTTGATCCTTTTTTTTTCTTTGACACAGGCTCTCACTTTGTCACCCAGGCTGGAGTGCAGTGGTGCCATCATAGCCCACTGCAGCCTCACCCAAGTCCTGGGCTCAAGCAATCCTCTCACTTCAGCCTCCCACATCACTGGGACCACAGGTGTGCACCACCACACCCAGCTAATTTTTAAATTCTCTTAGAGATGGGGTCTCCCTATGTTGCCCAGGCTGGAAAAACTATTTATTAAGAGCAAGTTTAACAGTTATTTTCAGATTTCTCTTTTACTATAGCAAATACACACTATGGCACACAAAAATGGCTTTTTTAGTTTAAAATGTTTTGAATTGTTGAACTGCTAGTGGATTACTATGAATTTTATGTTTTGAGGAATTGATAATCTAAAATAAAATACATTACTCAGGGAGCACAACATGGAAATAATTTACCCAGAAGAATTATATTTAACATATTTGTAATATGCTGTTGTGAGGCTTTTAATTTCACCATGGTGCAAGTTTATTAAAAGTGTCACTATTCACTTAGCAGTTTTTTAAACTGAACAAGAAAACAAGCTAATTCCAAATGACTTTTGAAGGTGAAGAAAGCATCTCAAGATGCTTCTGAGAGTTCTAGGTGATCAGGAGCAACTTATTTGAAGAGCCAGAAAAGTCTAAAAGTCTACTTTCAGGAGCTGGGGGCAGGAGGAATAATTCAGAAATAATTCAAGGTGGAGGAGAACAAGGAAAATCTCATAGGACATCAACATTTCTCCATGTTATTGTCAGAAGAGATGGGCTAGGAAGACTCGGGGGGCAGTAATGTGGAGGTGTCCACATGTTTCTCCTAGACAAGAGGGTAAGGACAAGGCCAGCTTCTCAAGAAGAGCTCCTGTCTTGGCCTTTTCCTGCTGCTTTATCAAAACACCTTGTAAACAATAGACACGTATTTCTCACAGTTCTGGAGGTTGGGGAGTCCAAGGCTGGGAAGTTCAAGATCTGCAGGTGCAGATCCAGTGTCTGATGAGGGCATCTTCTTGCTGTGTTCTCACTGGTGGGAAAGGCAGAAGAGACAAATGCTGTGTCCTCACGTGGCAGAAGAGATGTTATGGGCTGAATGTGTCTCTCCAAAATTCATATGTTGAAGCTTTATCACCAATGTGAAAGTATTAAGAGGTAGAGCCTTAATAAGTGATAAGTGATGAGGGCAGAACCCTCATGGGGGGGATTAGGGCCCTTGAAGGAGTGCATTTATCCCTTTCCATCCCTCCCACCACCACGTGAAGATGCAGTATTTTCCCCTTTAGATGCACCATTTTGGAAGCAGAGAGCAGCCCACACCAGACGCCAAGTATGTTGGTGCCTTATTCTTGGACTCCCAGCCTCCAGAACTGTGAGCAATAAATTTTTGTTTTTAATACATTGCCCAATCACAGGTATTTCTGTATAGCAGCACAAATGGATTATGACAGAAATTGATACTGAGAAGTGGGATGTTGCTATAACTAATACCTAAATATGTGGAAAGAGTTTTGAAACTGATTAATAGGTAGAGGCTGGAAGAAGTTGGAGATGCATGCTGGAAAAAGCCTAGATAGACATGAACAGAGCATTAAGGGCAGTTCTGGTGAAGCTCAGAAGACTAGGACTGCCTGCAGGGAGAACCTAAATCTTCTTAGAGATTAAATAAGTGGTCAGAATCAGAATGCATTTAGAGTTATAAAGACAGTTTTGATGAGATCTTAAAAGGAAACTGGAGGAAAGGTCATCCTTGTTACACAGTGGCAATGAACTTGGCTGAACTGTGTGTCTGTGTCCTAGTGTTTTCTGAATGGCAGAATTTAAAGGTAATAAACTAGGATATTTGGTGGAGGAAATCTCTGAGTAAAGTGTTGAGAGTGCAACATGGCTTCTCTTGACTGCTTATAGTACAATATGGGCAGAGAGAATGGATTAAAGACAGAATTTATAATCGAGGAAAGCACAGCTTAAAGGTTTAGAAAATTCTTTCCAAATCTTTGGCCACGTAAAGAATGAAAAGGCATGCTTGGGAGAGAACACCAAGAGTGTGGCCAGGCTCACCCTTGATAATGAGATGAGTATGGATAGAAGGAAGCCAGATGCTATTTATCAAGACAATGGAAGAATGAACCCAAAGGCATTTCAGAGGCTGCTGGTGCTGGATTCCCATCACTATCCCAGGGTGCCAGGACCCTGAGGGCAGCATGGTTTTAAGGGAGGACTCAGGACACCATGGAACCTTGGGGCTTGCTGCCCAGGGCTGCCTCAAATCTCTGCCCACCTGCCCCCTGCATTCTGGTGCAGCACTCTTTGGCTACCACCCTAGGTGTGGCTTATGCAGGCCCTTGTCAGGATACCCTTCCTGTGAGCCTTGGCAGTGTCCATGTGATGTTAACTCTGCAGGTGCACAGAGTGCATGAACTGTGGAGACATAGCCACCTCCACCTAGATTTTGAAGGACGTCTTGGGGAACCTGGGGGTCCAGGCAAAGAATTGTCACTGAGGTGAGGCTGCTGCAGAAAGCCCCCACTAGGGCAATGTTTAGTGGAGCAATGGCACTGGGGCCACTGGAAAGAGCCCCAACTAGGGTAATAGCTAGTGAAGCTCTGGAAACAGGGCTGTCCCTGAGAACCCAGAACTGTACAGCCACCAGCATGCAAGTCCCTCTGTGAGAGCCTAAACTTCAACCTGTCAGAACTGCTGCAATGTTTACACCTGGCAAATCCATGGGACTGGGCCCCCTGGACCCTAGAGGACCCAATCCCCACCTGATGTGCTTGAAATGGGGGACACAGCCTCAAAGAAAATTATTCTGAAGCCCCAAGATTTAATGCTGTTTGCCTTGTTGCATTTTTGGACTTCCTTGGGATCAGATGCTCCTTTCTTCTTGCCTGTCCTTCCCTTTTGGAATAGGAATGTCCTTCCTATGCCAGTCTGGCCACTGTATTTGGAAGGCATGTAACCTGTTTGATTTCATAGGCTCATGGCTGGAGGGGATTTTCAGTTAGGATGAATTGTACCTTGAATCTTATGCCTTTCTAATTTAGAAGATATTTAGATGAGACTTTGGACTTACATTTTATTTTATTTTATTTTATTTTTAAAGATGGGGTTTCACCATGATGGCCAGGCTGGTCTTGAACTCCTGACCTCAGGTGATCCACTCACCTCGCCCTCCCAAAGTGCTAGGATTACAGGCGTGAGCCACCGCGCCCTGCCAGGACTTACATTTTAAAGTTGATGCTGGAACTTTGTGGGCCACTGGGATAGAATGCATGCATTTGTATGTGAGTAGGGCATACATTTGGAGGGCTGGGGCAGAATGCTATACTTTGAATGTCTGTGTTCCCTCCAAAATTCATGCTGAAACAATCTTCAATGCAATATTAAGAGGTGGTGCCTTTAGGAGGTGATTAGATCATGAGAGCACCTCCCTCAGACGTGAGATTGGCCCCTTTAAAAAAGCCTTCACATGGGATTCGGCCCCTTTTGCCCTTCCGCTTTCCACCATTGAGGATGTAGCAGCAAGCTGTGATCTTGGAAGCAGAGAGCAGGTGTTTGGAATTGGGTCTGTTATATCTGATCCTGGAGGCCCCTCTTTTTCCCTATCTATGCAAGATCCACACATTTGCTTCCTCCCTTCAAAGGAAGCTCCCAGTATAGATGGGACTCAGAGAAAGTCGTTTGCCCTCCAAGAGGTGACACACTGTCTTCTCAGTCTTTCACACCTTTGTAAGAAATAGCTTTTCGGGTCTTTGCGGGAGATTCCGGGAAAGGCTTAGAACTGAGAAAGGCGCCAATTCCCTGAGGAGGGCGCTGCTGGGAAGCCACGCTCACTTCTGCCTCCACTTAGGCAACCCCAGGAGCTCTGACTACTGGGCAGTCACAGGGATGGGCCGCTGCCCCGCCCGCGGCCGCGGCCTGCGTGACACTTCCGCACGGTATAAGGGCAGCGGCCCTGAGCGCTTCCTCCCAGACCTCGCACCCAGCTCGGAGCCCGCAGCGTGCCTCGGCGCATCGGGTAAGGCCGGGACTGGAGGGACCAGGGCCCCTCGCTCAGCTTCCAGCCCAGCACCCCCCACCTCCTAGGCTGAGGCCAGTCTGCCCCACAGCTCCGCCTGCGCACCCCGTGCGCGCCCCCATCCCCTACCCGCGCTCGGTCTGAGATAGGCCCCTCGGATCCTCGCCCTTGCCGAGGCGCAGGCCGGGCCAGCCAGCGAGGGAGGGAGGGAGGACGACAGATGCAGGCGGAAGTCAGGACTGAAACCTGAGATCCGAATGTTGTTCTTTGTCCCTGAATTCCCGGCTTCCCAGAGCTGTTTGTGAGTTTCCAGGCAGCCCAGGGCCAAGCTGCTGCTCCTTTCTGCAGCTGCAGGGAGGGAGAGGAGGAACCCCTCGCGATTCTAGAGACGACTTAACAGCAAGGAGAAGTCAGCTTTGTACTTACGTGCCGAGCAGCCAGCACAGTTCTTCTTTGCCTGTCCTTGGGGAAATAAGGGCTCTGAGAATGGAGATCAAGATGGGCTGGTGGGTGGAGGACGGGGATGCTGCACCGCCACACCCCGGCACATCCTGCGCCGGCTCTGAGACTTTGGGCACTGGACCTCTTACGCCTTTTGAACCTCAAAAATGAGAAATAATTATGTGATTATAATAATTACAGCGATACCCCTGCTGGAGTTTTAATGCGTAGTTAGCTAGCTATGAGTCTCTGATAGAACGCTCTTAGTTCAGTTGAAGGTAGGCAATAGATTTATTGCCCAGTGAATCAGAGACTTGAATCAAAGGCTCAGAAGCAGGTGCACTCCCAGATGTAGGTTGGAAGGACTCACGGCTGGGTGGCTATGCCAAGGCTGGTGTAGCTGGGGTTGGCCCCACCCTACCCCCCAGACTCACCTGTCTGCAAGGTCAGAGCCCTATAGGGCACCCTGGGTCCTGATCCCCTTTAACTGCTGAATCCTTGGCCAGCATGATCCCACATCTGTGGGCCTGGGAAAGTGTTCTTGCCCCGCTGGAATAAAAAAGTGGGGAGAAAGTACAAGATCCAGGGCATCACAGGGTGGTTGGCACAAGATGAGGAAGCTTCTGGGGAAATAGTGCTGCCCGATCAGCTCGGATGAGCAGCGGGAACCAGGCACCATGGGGTTCCTGTCATGTGTTACAGCTTTCACCATGGAGCAGCTGAGCTCAGCAAACACCCGCTTCGCCTTGGACCTGTTCCTGGCCTTGAGTGAGAACAATCCGGCTGGAAATGTCTTCATCTCTCCCTTTAGCATTTCATCTGCGATGGCCATGGTCTTTCTGGGGACCAGAGGTAACACGGCGGCGCAGCTGTCCAAGGTCAGCAGAAACAAGCAAAAAGGGTCGCTTTCCTGCTGTCTCCCTATGAATGGACAGTCTGTATGGAAAGGTTGTGCCGTTGAGCTCTTAAACAGCATCTTTTCAAAACTGTATTTCTGTGTTCAACAACTGTACATTATGAGATCAGACTTTCCAAAAAGTGCCATTTGTATGTAGGCTTTCATTCATCATCAGGTTTTTCCTAAGTACCTATCACATGCCAGGAACTGTTTTTTGTGTTCCTGAGGAGACAGCAGTGAGCAAAGCTGACAAAAATCCCTTCAGGGCGAGGCTTCTGCTCCAGTGGATGACTCTGACAGCTATCCTGAAAGCCATACCAGGTCCTCCTGGGCCAGCAGCTTCCAGTTTTCGCTTTGCATATGATGATTTGCAACTCATAAATACTGCCTGTTACATAATGCTCCTTTCAATTATAATGAGAGCAGTGAGACATAGGGAATGCACTATAATGGAGATAGGGGCATTGCTTTTTTGCAGGGAAGAAAGTGACCCTGTAGTTCTGTAGTCCCAGGGCTCTGTGCATGGCTTAGTGGGCTGCGGCATAGCAAGCCCTGCAGGGGAGGTGAGGGGGAGACCCAACAGCTTCGGGAGCAGGACCCAGCCCCTGGCAATGTGACAGGTCACTCTCATGCCCAGCCTTCCTTCTTGTCCTTAATGGAGGGGACTTCTGTGCTTGGTACTCTTCAATTCCAAGAAGAGAACTCTAGCTGTCTCTCAAAGCTCAGCAGAAAGGAGAGGTAACAGTGGAGGTTCTTCTAACATACCTGCCGCAAATTATACTGCACCTGCTCCTTGGCAAGGTGCAGCCCAGGATTCAAGTTTAAGGGGCTCTTCTATTACTCATCGCTTTAGATATGAAAGTGTTTTAAAGATTTTTTAAAAAATTTGTTAAAGAAACTTCTATTACTAATTGTTAGTTCCTTCTTGCAGGGTTATATCAGTTCCTAGCTTGAGACTTTTCAGGGACTTTAAAAACCTCAGCAACGAATAGTTTTAAGGACTCCCCCCACCCCGCATTTCCATTAAAGCAGATGGATCATAGGCACAGTGGAAAGATTCCATATCCCAGTGAGTAATGTGGACTTTGTACTCTGCATAGTTTTGTTCTTTGTGTATTAATAATAAAAGAACCAGCCTAGGCCTCATAAAACCACAAAGGGCCTCTTGATTTGTAACTGATATATGAGGAATTAAACTTTTGCCAGAATGTTAAGTTTAAGGAAGTTTTTTTTTTTTTTTTTTTTTTTTGAGACGGAGTTTCACTCATGTTACCCAGGCTGGAGTGCAATGGCACGATCTCGGCTCACCGCAACCTCCGCCTCCTGGGTTCAGGCAATTCTCCTGCCTCAGCCTCCTGAGTAGCTGGGATTACAGGCACGCACCACCATGCCCAGCTATTTTTTTGTATTTTTAGTAGAGACGGGGTTTCACCATGTTGACCAGGATGGTCTCGATCTCTTGACCTCGTGATCCACCCACCTCGGCCTCCCAAAGTGCTGGGATTACAGGCTTGAGCCACCGCGCCCGGCCTGGAAGTTATTTTAAAATAAATGAGTTAATGTTTAATAGGGTAATAAAATTTAAAAAACCTTAGTCTGTAATATGTTTGTGGTTCTGAATAGAGGATGAATCCTATTTTTACTGCTTATTTCTGAGAACTTTCAGTAAAACTATATTTGATACAGAAAACAAGCATGAACATACCATTTATGATTTTCTTTGGAAAAAGGCAGATTACATAAATATATAGTGTATTAACCACTCACATTTGAGGAACTGCAAGTGTAGCAAAAGTGATGTGAAAGCAATGGTAAATTAATAAATATTGGGTTGGGGATCATCAATAATTAGTAATAGAAACACACTAATTTAATTTGAAAGAAGGAAACACCAAGGAACCATTTTATGGTGTCAAAGTAAATGGTTGTGGAAAGAATGTTTTCTTTATTTTAGACTTTTCATTTCAACACGGTTGAGGAGATTCATTCAAGATTTCAGAGACTGAATGCTGATATCAACAAACGTGGTGCATCCTATATTCTGAAACTCGCTAATAGATTGTACGGAGAGAAAACTTACAATTTCCTCCCTGTAAGTACTTTGCCCTTCACATTCTAAAACCCCGCTACACAGTGCAGATACTTTCCAGCACAATCAAGTCATGGAAGTCACTTTTAATATTTGTAAATTTTCAGAAAAACAATACAGAAGGCAAACATGGCAGAAACAATACGGAAGGCAACAGGACAGAATGCAAACAGCCAGAATGCAAACTTTAATTGACATGGTGGTTTGTTTACAGTCTTTTCAGTGAAAAGTTAGCTCCTGGAGGTTTTACTGAAGCAGGAGTACAATCAGTATTTGTGAAATCTTAGTCCAAGGTCAGAAAAGAGTGGTAATTTTTATATAACACCAACAGGATAAGGGTTAGACTTACCATGACTGAAATGTACATGTTAAAATGGCTAAGATAGTAAATTTAATGTTAAATGTTTTTTGCTACTATGAGAAAAACTGTAAGAGTTGAAACTGTAGCCTTTTAGGACAATTTCTGTTGCTTTTCAGGATTTTAGAAAACAATTTCTATAGGTAGGAGGAGTTGCTTCTATTTTCTCCTTTTTTTTAAATAGGAGTTCTTGGCTTCAACTGAGAAAACATATGGTGCCGTCCTGACCAGTGTGGATTTTCAGCACGCCCCTGAAGATGCAAGGAAGACCATAAACCAGTGGGTGAAGGGACAGACAGAAGGTGAGAGCCTGGGCAGAATGGAATCATTATGCACAGGTCATTCCTTTCCTCAGTCTGCCTTCCCCACCTGCAATTCTTCCCTCCCCAGCTCCCACAGTCCTGGCACACATGGCGGTTACAGTCAGAGGATGCTCGGGGTACATGAACTCTGCACTGCCCATTGCTGGACAGCTCTCAAATGTTAGAAGTTCACCAGAGTGGAAACTTAAACATGATTTAACTCAAGCAGCTAAATTCTTTGTTCTCATCAGCCCCCCAAAACTGCATGTTAAAGTTCAAGCCGACATTGGCAGGCACGGTGGCTTATGCCTGTAATCCCAGCACTTTGGGACACCAAGGCAGGGGGATCATTTGAGGTGAGGAGTTCAAGACCAGCTTGGCTAACATGATGAAACCCTGTCTCTACTAAAAATACAAAAAAATTAGCCAGGTGTGGTAGCACACACCTGTGATCACAGCTACTCAGGAGGCTGAGGCAGGAGGATTGCTTGAACCCGGGAGGCGGAAGTTACAGTGAGCCAAGATCGCACCACTGCACTCTAGCCTGGGCGACAGAGTAAGACTTGGTCGTAAAAAAAAAATTAAGTAAGTAAGTAAAGTTAAGACCAACACTGAAGATAGCAAAAAAGAAATTAAAATTTTGAGGAGAATCCGGCCTGCCAAAAATTATCTAATACACATAAGGAAAGAAATATCCTGGAATTTCATGGAAATACCTGAAATCAATATTCACCAACTGCTGTGGTCATAAATTTTTTGCCAAGATCTTGTCCAGTAAAAAAAGGTATGGTAGGTGTGGACTGACTTGCTCTTTAGGGTACAATTTATTTCTTTACCACATCTCTTTTCTTATGTAGTCCTATATCAGTCAACCCACTGCAGAAGGCCTGTCTGCCATTATGGGAATTATTCCTGGCCATACTTGTGGTCACCAAGGGGACCTTTGTTTCCATGGAGTAGCTGTTCTGCTGTTTCTTTGGTTTGTTTGTTTGGTTTTGGTTTTTGTTTTTAAGAGACAGAGTCTTGCTCTGTCGCCCAGGCTGGAGTACAGTGGTGCGATCGTGGCTCATTGCAGCCTTGACCGCCTGGGCTCATGGGCTCTTCTCACCTCCGCCTCCCAAAGTGCTGGGATTGCAGTTGTGTGCCACCATGCTTGGTCTTGTTCTGCCTTTGGGATATTGTTTAAATCTTTTTTGTGAGAGTAGGCATCTACTCAGCGATTTGAAGAAGTCATTTACTGATGACTGAAGACATTTTTTTCATCAAGAATTGTTTTTCTAAAAATGAATGGTGTTACAAAATGAGGCTCATTGATTATCATACAGTCCAGAAAAGGAGAGTTTTCCTGTCTTTGGTCTTTCAGCACATTTGACTTGTTTAAATTTTGGAGTCCTTTGTGGGTAGTTTGTGTGTCACCCTGGTCTGCCTCACAGGTTGTTATGTTTAAAGTGAAGACATGCTACTAGGTAGGGCTTTCCTAACTTAATATGTTGTTAAATGAAGGTTAAGTAGAAAGTGTACATTTCTATTACATTTCCATGCTAATATATTGTCAGCTCAAATTTGGAATTCCAATTTGGATTTTTTCTAAAGCTAACTTGATTTTTTTAGGGAAGATTCCGGAACTGTTGGCTTCAGGTGTGGTTGACAACATGACTAAACTTGTGCTAGTAAATGCCATCTATTTCAAGGGAAACTGGCAGGAGAAATTCCTAAAAGAGGCCACGACGGATGCCCCGTTCAGATTGAATAAGGTGAGGTGAGGTAACTGTACAGAATCATACATTGCTCTAAAAGAGTGCAAAGAGTAATTTCAGTGTTTTTTTTGTACTGTTCAGAAAGACACAAAAACTGTGAAAATGATGTATCAGAAGAACAAATTTCCATTTGGCTATATTGAGGACCTTAAGTGCCGTGTGCTGGAACTGCCTTACCAAGGCAAGGAGCTCAGCATGGTCATCCTGCTGCCGGATGAGACTGACGATGAGTCCATGGGCCTGAAGAAGGTATGGCTGCTGGCCTTCATGCTTTGTGGTTCCTTCTGTGTGTATGTGTCGCATGGTAGGTAGGTGCTCATTAAATGTTCACTGATGGCCGGGCGCAGTGGCTCACGCCTGTAATCCCGGCACTTTGGGAGGCTGAGGTGGGTGGATCACGAGATCAAGAGATTGAGACCATCCTGGTGAAACCCCATCTCTACTAAAAATACAAAAAATTAGTTGGGCATGGTGGCGCATGCCTGTAATCCCAGCTACTCAGGAGGCTGAGGCAGGAGAATTGCCTGAACCCAGGAGGCGGAGGTTGCGGTGAGCCGAGATCGCCCCATTGCACTCCAGCCTGGGTAGCAAGAGCAAAACTCCGTCTCAAAAAAAAAAGTGTTCACCGATGGTTCATTTTCCAATAGTTTGCTATTCCTTTGTAAATGTAGCCCATCAACACTTACTATACCAAAGCTCAGAGTTAATTTTTTTTTTTTTTAATTTATAGACACAAGATCTCACTATGTTGTCTAGGCTGGTCTTGACCTCCTGGCTTCCAGCAATTCTCCTGCCTCAGCCTCCTGAGTAGCTGGGACTATAGATGTGAGCCACTGTGCCTGGCTAACATTTCATTTTTCAGGAAAGATGGGCAGCTACTTTCAGTGGACACATGTGATGGGGTCATCTAAAGATCTATACTAAATATAATACTGGTTAGTAGCAGCCCATGGAAAGGCTCTTGAATTAACTTTAGAGGAAATTACAGTAAGTTGAGGATTGTTTTACTAAGGAAAAAGATTGAAACATCCCAACAGTGCAGCATATAGCTTCATCATGTACTATAAAATTCTATTATTACACTGTTCATTCTCATCACAGTTCATATAGATAGTGAATTAAATTTCCAATGGTTACAAGACAGAAAAAGCCTCATGTGACACATTAGGCCTATTAATTAATATGAACTTTGTATGAGGTTTCCATTATGTGTATTTTTTTTTTTTTGAGATAGGGTCTCACTCTGTCTTTCAGGCTGGAGTGCACTGGTGATCATTTAAATTTTTTGTAGAGACAGGGTCTCACTCTGTTGCCCAAGTTGTCTGTTATATGTAATTTAAAGGCTATTACATTTCTTGCCAGGGCTAGAAGTAAGCAAAACTGTGAAGATTAAAGTTTTTCTTTAGGGACCCTGGCCTGCTCTGTGCTCTGTCTCTCCTCCCCAACTAAACTTGGTATCAGGAAGGAAGTCTAATAATAATCATTTGCACCTAAAGTGCAATTAAAAAAATACATACATATATATAAATAATACTGGTCTCATCGGGCGTGGTAGCTCACGCCTGTAATCCAAGCACTTTGGAGGCCAAGGCGGGCGGATCACCTGAGGTTGGGAGTTCAAGACCAGCCTGACCAACATGGTGAAACCCCATCTTTATAAAAAATAAAAATAAAAATAAATAATAATACTGGTCTTAAATATTAAAAATTTTGCTTTTTATTTCTTAAAAAAAAATCATTTGCATGTACAGACTTTTAATACATTGTATAAAAATCAATGTGGTCTTTCAGTTGTATTTTTGCATTAGTTTTTTTTTTTTTTTTTTTTTTTCTGATTGTAAAGTGAAAATCTCTAGCCTCATAAAAGGAATTGTCAGCATGACTGGAACAAGTAGTGATGGTTCCGTTCCAGCCCAATAGCTATAACAATAGTAATGATAATAGCTGACATCTATATAGCACTATGCGCCAAGCACTTTATGTTTATCATTTCATTTAATGCTCTCAACATTCTATAAGGTAGATGTGAGTATTGTCCACATCATAATTTCAGATGAGGAACTAGGCCCAGTGCATAATCTGCCTTTGTAATTTTTACCTAGGAGCTGAAGTTATTAGATATTACTTCAGCTCCAGTGAGGTTCACAGATTACCACAGATTCAGTGGGATTCAGACTAAATAGAAGAAATATTTTAAATTTCTTCTAGCACTACTCAACCAATGAAGAGTAATAGCAGCTGTCATGGGCTATCACAGTAATCCATTGTGGTAGGGGTTTAGTAAGCCTTGGATGAATGGATGGATAAATGGGTGGATGGATGGGTAGATGGGTTGTTGGATAAATGGGTGGATGGATGATGGATTGGTGGATAGATGGCTGGATGGGTGGATAGGTGAATGGGTGGATGGGTATATGGGTGGCTGTGTGGCTGGGTGGCTGGGTGGGTGGGTGGATGGATGGATGGATGGATGAGTGGATGAATGGATGAATGGGTGGATGGATGGTGGGTGGGTGAGTGGATGATGGACCCAATGTACAAAGTCCCTGTACTTGAACCTTTGATGACTTGGAACACTAGCTCTACCCTATTTCGTCAATTGCCAGAAATAAATAAAATTCTCCAAATGGAATCTGTTTTGGCACAAAACATGAAGGAAAATAACTAGCAACTGATATTATATGTCCATTCATTTAAATATTGCCTTATTGTCTTACTTATGTAAAATTGATATCACTTCTTCTTTTGCCTCATTTTAATTACAGGTTGAGGAACAGTTGACTTTGGAAAAGCTGCGTGAGTGGACCAAACCTGAGAATCTCAGTTCCATTGAAGTTAATGTCAGCTTGCCCAGGTTCAAACTGGAAGAGAGTTACACCCTCAACTCTGACCTGGCCCGCCTGGGTGTGCAGGATCTCTTTGACAGTAGCAAGGCTGATCTGTCTGGCATGTCAGGAGCCAGAGATATTTTTATATCAAAAATTGTCCATAAGTCCTTTGTGGAAGTGAATGAAGAAGGAACAGAGGCAGCAGCTGCCACAGCAGGCATCGCCACTTACTGCATGTTGATGCCAGAGGAAAATTTCACAGCCGACCATCCATTTTTTTTCTTTATTCGGCACAATTCCTCAGGTAGCATCCTGTTCTTGGGCAGATTTTCTTCCCCTTAGAAGAAAGAGACTACAGCAATACAACATCAAGCTTAGAGCTTTATTACCGGAGTTTTTTTTTTTTTTTTTTTTTTTTTTTTTTTTTTGGGGTTTTTTTTTTTTTTTTTTTTTTGAGACGGAGTTTCGCTGTTGTTGCCCAGACTGGAGTGCAATGGCACGATCTTGGCTCACCGCAACCTCCGCCTCCTGGGTTCAAGCAATTCTCCTGCCTCAGCCTCCCGAGTAGCTGGGACTACAGGCACGCACCATCATGCCCAGCTAATTTTTGTATTTTTAGTAGAGACGAGGTTTCACCTTGTTGACCAGGATGGTCTCCATCTCTTGACCTCGTGATCCACCCGCCTCGGCCTCCCAAAGTGCTAGGATTATAGGCGTGAGCCACTGCGCCCGGCCTATTACCGGAGTTTTTAATGGTGCCAATGTTCTTACATCTTTACCAATAAAACCACTATCCAGAAACAAATCTTTCAATTTCTTTGTAAGTTCTGCTCTGTTGGGTGTTTACACATGAATTTTGGCATGGGTATGTAGTTTTCTCTTTTCACATTGAAAAAATCCAGTGGTTGCTTTTGAATACATCGAGTGAAAAAGAAAAAAGAATACAGAAGATGTGTAGATTCTTGACCATGTAGTAATCTATAAAATTGCTGTATCTTCCTGATAGCCATGGGAAAACGTGATAAAGTGGTCATGCATTTTGAAATTAGAATTTTGGAAGCTGCAAAATAGACAGACACTCTGACTATTGAAGGGGTGATTAAAAACAGGTATCAGTTGAAATACAAGAGAGTACCCCAATTGAGATCCTGGATTATGAAGACAAACTTGTCTTGCCTGATATTTCTGTTTCTTGTTCTGCAGGATTAGTATTCTGTTACAGCCCTCTAGTTTTTAGACTCTTCAATTAAAGGGCCAACAGTTATAACCTGCATTACCTTTTTTGTTCTTCTTTATGTATAATATATAGCTCATGTGGGACTGCATGGAGTCAAGAAGTGGGTGTCTTAGGATAAAAGATGCCAAGAATCTACAAAAATAACCACATAGTAGGGTAAACTGCTGAACAAAGGTTTTACACTTAGCTACCTTCTTATGTGTTTTCTTTTTTTCTTTTTTTGAGACAGAGTCTTGCTCTGTTGCCCAGGCTGGAGTGCAGTGGCACAATCTCGGCTCACTGCAACCTCTGCCTCGTGGGTTCAAGCAATTCTCCTGCCTCAGCCTCCCAAGTAGCTGGGATTACAGGTGTGTACCACCAAAGCCGGCTAAATTTTGCATTTTTAGTAGAGATGGGGTTTTGCCATTTTGGCCCGGCTGGTCCTGAACTCCTGATCTCAGGTGATCTCTGCCCACCTCAGCCTTCTCATGTGTTTTCTGATTGAGACTCTTGACTTCCTTCATTCACACAGGTTGTTATGGCAATAAGATGGCATTGTGCGAGGCTGTGTGGGGAGATGGGGTGGGGGCTCTGGGACTAATAGAAAACTTTATCAAATGTAGTTCTTTGGGACTTGAAATGCTGCATTTTCTTGCTCCCACAAGGATAGGGGGCATCACAAATTAATAAAACTTCCTAGGATTCTGCAAGCCAGACTGGTCTCAGGCCTTTTCTTATTTCTCCTTTATCCTGGACAAGTTAAGACTACAAAAGGGTATTCCTGGCCTGACATCAGTGTTGGTAGTGAGGAATTCTACAGGTTAACAACAAAATTTTGGCAACTCTCTTGCCAACAAACTTTCTTTCTTTCCCCCTTTCTTAAAATACTTATCAGCACCTGCCATATTCCAGGTTTTCTTACTTACAGGAAAAACATTGCCTCCTGTAAGTCTTCTCTTTTGGTTCCCCATCCTAAAATCCACTGTGATTTAGAGTAAATCGTGCGAATTATGTAGAAACTGAATTGCAGGGGCCCAGCAAGCCTGCTCAAATTATGTGTAAGGGAACAAGCCCATAGACTATAAGTAAATTATTGAAGGTCAAAACAATTGGTGAGTTCCAGGGCAGAGACTAGAATACAATTCTTATTTTACGTGGAGAGCATCTAATTTATGTAATGGTGAAATAGTTACCTCAGGCCTCTGAAGACAATTAAAAACCAAATAAATAAAACAAGCATCAGCCCAAAGGCAAGAGAGGGCTAACCTGATCATAAAGAATTACTGGTCCAAGATCCAGAACCAATTGGAAATTCAGAGAAGTGAATCTGGAAATTGGGGTCACTTCTGCCCCAGGGGCATTTGCCAATTCAGAAGTGGTAGACAGAGTTTGGGCCTGTCAAGAGTTGGGGCCCCATTAGACTGCCTCTGCTTTTGTTTGGCATCCTAAGAGCTATTCCCTAGCTGAGTCATGAGTATGACAGAGTCAGCTCAGAATGCAACCCTGCTATAAGTCATTGGAGAGCCCAGAAATTTCCAATCCCTCAAGGTAGATTACTTTCATCCTGGTTTGCTGCTACCTGTGGGCACATTGCAGAAGCAAACAAAAATCAGATTTTGGGGAAAATTACACATAAACCTCAAATCATGTTGACCATCAGGTTCTATAATGCAATATCCAGCACATAACCAAAAATAATTGGACAGTTGAGGAGCCTCCAGAAAGACAAATATGATAAATAAAACCCCAAAACGCAAATACAAAAGGGAGGATAAGAGACCCAAGGTAGTCAATAAGAAGATGCTTAATGGGAGAAAAGAAAGTATGGAACAGAATCATATTTTATTCATGTATTTGTTAACTATTATGTTTTTTAGAGACAGGGTCTCACTTTGTTTCCTGGCTGGAGTGCAGTGGTACAATCATGGCTCACTGCAGCCTTGAACTCCTGGGCTCAAGTGATCCTCTCACTTTAGCCTCCCAAGTAGCTGGGAACACTGGAGTGTGTCACCATACCTGACTAATTTTTTTTTTTTTTTGAGACGGAGTTTCACTCTTGTTACCCAGGCTGGAGTGCAATGGCACGATCTCGGCTCACCGCAACCTCCGCCTCCTGGGTTCTGGCAATTCTCCTGCCTCAGCCTCCTGAGTAGCTGGGATTACAAGCATGCGCCACCATGCCCAGCTAATTTTTTGTATTTTTTTAGTAGAGACGGGGTTTCACCATGTTGACCAGGATGGTCTCGATCTCTTGACCTCGTGATCCACCTGCCTCGGCCTCCCAAAGTGCTGGGATTACAGGCGTGAGCCACCACGCCCGGCCTACCTGACTAATTTTTAAATTGTTTTTTCAGTGACAGGATCTCGCTATCTTGCTCAGGTTGGTCACTCACAGCCTCAAGTGATCCTCCCGCTTTCCAATAACCCCCAAAGTGCTGGGATTACAGGCATGAGTCACCACACCAGGCATCAGAATCATATTTTAAAATCTAACATTCAAACGTTTATACTAAAACCGATAAAGGATGTCAATTCACAGCATCTGGAAACCCTACTCAAACCCCAAGTAGGAAATACAAACAAATCCATCTCCAGGTGCGTTCTAGTAAAACTGCACTCATCCAACGACTAAAGGAAAAATCACACAATGAAAGCCACCAAAGAAAAGGCCAAAGTACCTTGGAAAAAACAAAATCTAAAAACCCTGCTATCCTAGAATTATTATATGCCAGGAAGAACGTCCTTCAAGATGTTTTCAGACAAAAACTGAGAAAGTTTGCCATCACCAGACTTCCCCTGAGAAAAAGTCTAAACGTGATTCTTTATGCACAAGAAATGTCAGAGTTGTAACAGCAGCAATAAAAAAGCAAGAAAAATTAGTGACTATAGTAAGTTTAAATGAATATTGACCGCGTAAGACAGATGCAATGTCTACAAAGCTTCAATCAGATCCAGAATTAAAAGAAATGAAAACATAGAAGCTGGGGAGGAAAATGGAGTTGAAAGTTCTAAGATCCTTGCATTGCCTGGGAAGAGAATAAAGTACAATTACAATTACATTGGAGGTTGATAAAGAATGACAAAGAATGCCATCATCAGTCTGAAAGAACAGAAAGAAGATAAAATGACACATAGAGTAGGCATGACAACTAGCAACATGGTATATTAGACTCTAAATAAAATGTACATTCAGTCAATGTTCCCATTCCAGTAAAACAACAAAGATGGTCAAGCTGGAACGAAAAAATACTGCACACTATTTAGAGGAAATAGTTATAAAGCATAAGACTAGGGAGAATTTGAAAAGAAAATAATAGAAAAAGACATATCATGCATATGCTAACCATAAAAGTCAGTGTAGCTACAACAGCATTAGTGATAATGTCTACAGAGTCTCAAATATATCTAGAATTAAAATAAATGATAACATAGAAGTTGGGGAGGGAAGTGGAGTCATAAGTTCTAAGGTCGGCGGGGCATGACCTGGCTCATGCCTATAATCCCAGCACTTTGGGAGGCCGGGGTAGGTGGCTCACGAGGTCAGGAGATTTAGACCATCCTGGGCAACATGGTGAAACCCTGTCTCTACTAAAAATACAAAGGTTAGCTGGGCGTGGTACCATGTGCCTGCAATCCCAGCTACTTGGGGGGCTGAAGCAGGAGAACTGCTTGAACCCGAGAGATGGAGGTTGCAATGAGCTGAGATCGCACCACTGCACTACAGCCTGGTGACAGAGCAAGACTCCGTCACACACACACACACACACACACACACACACAAAGTTCTAAGGTCTTTCTTGCATTGTCTGGGAAGAGAATACTAAAGTACAATTATAATTACATATTTCCTATTCCTCTTCTAGAGATAAGGACAGACGCTTCATAACAATAACAAAAATATTTCACTCACTAGGAAAATATAACAATTCTAAACTTGTATGTACTCAATAAAACGCCCTCAAAAGGAAACAGCAAAAATAGAAAGAAATGAAAGGTGAAATTGGTCTGCAATTTGAGAACAAGATCAGCATGTAAGGCCGGGCGCAGTGGCTCAAGCCTATAATCCCAGCACTTTGGGAGGCCGAGGCGGGTGGATCACGAGGTCAAGAGATCGAGACCATCCTGGTCAACATGGTGAAACCCCGTGTCTACTAAAAATACAAAAATTAGCTGGGCGCAGTGGCGCACACCTGTAGTCCCAGCTACTTGGGAGGCTGAGGCAGGAGAATTGCTTGAACCCAGGAGGCGGAGGTTGCGGTGAGCTGAGATCGCGTCATTGCACTCCAGCCTGGGTAACAAGAGTGAAACTCTGTCTCAATAAAAAAAAAAAAAAAAAAAAAAAAAAAAAAAAAGATCAGCATGTACTATCACCACTTAATAATTTAATGAAGATCCCAGCTGATACACTAACTCAAGAAAAATAAATAAATAGAATATATAATTATTTGAAGGAAAGAACAAATCTCACAATATCTCAATTATTAGAATTTAAGAAAGTTAATTAGGGTTGCTGGTTACAAGTTTAATTTATAAAGCTAGTTTGTATTTCTAGGTAATATCTGCAGTTCACAAAATTTTAATACCATTTCTAATGACATAAAAAAAATCTTAGTGTCCAGGAATGAATCCAACAAATTGTTTGGGACTCTATACAGAAAACTATAAATGTTATTGAGAGAAAATGAAAGAGATCTGAAAAAATGGAGAGCTTTGCCACAGTTATGATGCAAAACTTTAAATATGTCATTTGTGCCGGGCATGGTGTTCACACCTGTAACCCTAGCACTTGGGAGCCTGAGAGGGAGATCACTTGAGCCCAGGAGTTCTAGACCAGCCTGGGCAAAAGTCTTTATCTCTATTAAAAATAAAAGTAAAAAATTAGCCAGGCATGGTGGCACGTGCCTGTCCCCACTCCTCTGGAGGCTGAGGCAAGATCACTTGAGCCTAGGAGTTTGAGACTGCAGTAAGCTATGATCCCACTGCACCACTCCGGCCTGGGTGACAGAGCAAGACCCTGTCTCAAAGGAAAAAAAAAAAAAGGCAATTGGTCTATAGAA